TAAGTTGAATATCAGTATCGGGGTAGGTATTTAGTTAGGGTCAACAATTAAATTAAAATATTCGTTAAATTAACTATACATATTTATACTTAATGCATAAGATAGTAGTATTAAAGTCTAGGAATCCGCAATTTCCCAATACAATAGACTTAGATATTTTATCATCCAGACTTGTCAAAATTTGTTATATCAAAGCCTCTGAAAAAAGCCCACAGAGACAAGGAGTGGGCGTTTAAAAAATTCCTTAGCTGACACACAAGAAATAGTACAAGAAAGGAGAAAAAGAAGAAATATTTACAAAAAGAAATGAGATCCCATCAAAAACATTCTGTAAAAATATTGCAAGTCTCGCAACGCATTTCTTCTACCGCAAAAAGCTATGAGATATAATGTAAAACCAAGTCGGTTAATTTATTCATTACCTATCTATGGAAGCATCTATCCGACAACTTTGTCATAAATCGTTACCGAATTAGTTAAGTTACAACATTTTATAGTGACCGTAATAATATTAGATATATTTATTTCTTTAATTAATAGAATGACTTGGCCATCGCACATGATAATAGAACCTACAAATAACAAAATTTACCTCATACCAGCGTTCTGAGTACATTATTTATGTTAGTGCATGCATAAATTTGACCCGCTAGTGCTATGTTCAGTTCATCTCAGCCCAAACACGTCCACAGCTGGACATAGGCCTCCCCCAAAAATTTCCACGACAACCATTCTTGTGCCATCCGCATCCAGTGGGCTCCAGCGACTTTGACCAACTCGTCCGTCCACCTTGGTCATGGTATGTTTAATTAGGACTATTTAATTAAAGTAGTAGACTCTTATTTGATTATGTTTCCGTGCGATGGCCAAGTCATTCTATTAATTAAAGAAATAAATATATCTAATATTATTACGGTCACTATAAAATGTTGTAACTTAACTAATTCGGTAACGATTTATGACAAAGTTGTCGGATAGATGCTTCCATAGATAGGTAATGAATAAATTAACCGACTTGGTTTTACATTATCACATTTTCAGAAGTGCAATACAATACTTACATAAAGCGTCCGAGAGCGAGGCGGTCGATTAAGAAGCTGCACCGTTGCCAGGCGACGGCGCCATCTTGCCTCCACCCCTACCCACCCCCTACCCCCCACTGTAAACAACTGTATCGTTGCACTGAAACACTCGATATATTAAAAGGTTCTTGGATTTTTGAAAAACTGCTCTCGCTCTACATTGTATTTGAATAAATTATCTGTTTGTTTTATAAAATTATTTACATAAACTACTATATTTATTTTATATACCTGTACATTATAGTTAATTTTGAAAAACCTAAAGGTATTTTAGTGGTTCTTGCTTCTTTGAGGACTGAATTATAATATAAGCTTATATAAGTTTTATTGACCTTATGGGTCTTACATATGTATGTGTTTATTAGTCATTACCTCTAAAACATATTGAACATCTAAAATACACACTCGTATATTTTAAAGAAAGTTTTTAATTTCCTTAATTATAATGTATTTAGTACAGCTTACAGTAGAAGTATTTATCAGAAGTTTTAATTTGAAAATCAATTGAACGGTCGAAAGTTATCTCTTAAATCTAAAAATACAGTTAGAAACAGTGGCGCTGCAGTTAAATGAATGTTAAACGTGTAATTTCTCGTGAACGCTGCAAAGACAGATTGCGGCTATTATTCAAGATTACAGATATCCTTTGCCTAGGTATTGCAGGATGAATTAAATCATCTTTGCATTCCTTTGAATTGGATGTATTGACTCCAGCTTCTTACTAGTTTTGATATTTATTGCTTTAAAACTTCGCTTTTATTTTTTCTGACTGTATCGAAAGTGTTGAAGAAAATTATCAATATTAAAAACGTTTTTCAAAGACGTCAAGACATCAGGAAATCCTAATATTTACATGTTTGTACGTACAATAATAGCATCTATCGCTCCACATGGCAATTCCCATTAAGTTTATATTATTAAAGCAGAAGGCAATCTGTACAACGTTTTAATGTATTATGTAGAATTATAAAGGCGTCGAGCCCCGCTTACTTCTTATGATTTATTCATGAGGAAGAACAACGTTAAATTTGAACATGCCTACTTGTACAGGGGCATTTTGGTATAAAATGTCAAGCGCTTTAAGAGCCTAATTTGTTTTTCATAAAGATTTATCGGTAACTACTTAAAAGACTAATTTTATTCGATCAAAAATATCTTTCAATTTAAAAATTGCGTTACCATATTGCAAAGATTCATTAATATTATCTTACCTATTGATTGAAACATCGTTTCCGAGTATATTGGAATATATAGTGTAGTAAATTGAAAACCACGAAGCCAGTGCAATATTCAGTAAAGTTTGTTCCAACTGTCGGCTTGGAGCAACCGGGTGAATTTATACACAAATATTTTCAAAAGAAAACTTCTTTGAAGTCGGGAACAAAGCCAATCCACCGCGGTTATCCGTGATATTTTCAGGCGAACTCGTACCTTATTCGCAAACATCGAATCCGAATACAATACAGTGCGAAACGAAATTCGAAGGATAGATAATTTCGTAGCAAAAGAAATAAGGCGAAGGGAAAAAAATATAAATTGAATAGTCGAATACACGCATCCCGGCATTACCATAAAGGCAACAGGGATCAAGCGGGATTCCTCTACGAACTTTTTTATTTTCCTTCCACCTCTAAATCTCCAGCGAAATCTTCGCGAATCTGCAAATGTTGATTTGATGATGTCGTGCTCCTCCGTCGTACTACGAACATAATACGCCGACTACTGCGATGCGTAGACGGTCTACGGGTACGATGAATTCCATTACCATCTAGCTCTTATTGTTTTCTCGATCATCTAATATTTCATACTATGAGAGGTGAAAACATCTCAAATTACTAAAATTTCAATAACTTTTTCGTGTGCAAAAAATATTATGTTGCTTATTTTTGAAGTGAATTTGTATATGTTTACCAGGGCGTACTAAAAGTAACAAGTTAGATTAAAGGTATATAGGTGAATATAAAATACGTCCGCTTAAACTCTATTCAATACTAGCGACTCACCCTCGCTTCGCTCGGGTTCGTCCCTAGGTACGTTTTAACGGATAGTATGAAATACAAATCCTTGAATTTCTCAGCTTTTCTGTACTATAATATGCATGTATTATGCATATAAACCTTTCTCTTGATTCACTCTATATATTGCTGAAAACTGCATTAAAATCCGTTGAGTTGTTTAGAAGATCTAAGCGAATAGACAGCGGAAGCGACTTCATTTTATACTAGGTCCTATATAGTTATTAGAAGAAGGAAGTATGTATATGAGTACGATATGTTATTATTACTGTGTATTTTAAATAAAACTATTGTTTCGGATTTTATCGCGTAATAAGATAAATATCTTGACTTTAGTTTTTGGTTCCCGACGTTTCGAATTCTTTACAGCAATCATGGTTACGGGAGAAACTAAGGTTTTAGACGTCTCAAAGGTACTATATAGTTGTTACAGACAGCCTACCCACAATATACAAAATAAATTCAAATATACAAAAATGGCACCAAAGTGCCATACAATATTTGTTAAATTTAATTTTAAACAATTTTTTACTTTTAATAAGTTTTATAGTTGAACATGGAACTATTATTTATTTAATTGTAGCTGTTATTATTATAATTATTACACTTTTTCGAAATCTTTTTTAACTAGTTATATTATTCAGTATTGTTATTATTATATTTACGAACATAAAGAAAATAAAAAGATAGTTTTATTTAAAAAGTCAAATATTCGCGTAAATCTAAGAAAATATTATATAACTGTGTAATTTAACTTAGATATAACATTACGCATAAAACTTTTGTTAGTTTTGCATAAATGGTAATGATTGAATAATGTCATGTAATATATAAACTCGCTTAAACCCTCAGTTTATAAATATGTGAATAGTTTGTACTCTTAACATACATATGCGTAATACTACTAGCTATAACAGCTACCAAACATATTAAACCTTTTCCGAAACATTTCGTGAACTAACGAGCTAGAGCTAAAGGTTTGCTCTAAGGATTACGGCTCTCATCCATTGCGGTCATTAAGACACATTACCTCCCCGCCCCTACTTACCCCCCACCAATCCGCTTTTTAATTCAACTTTTCTCCTTGCCAATTTGCATGATTACTTTCCTTTTTATTATGCTCCTCGAAATGGTTCCAGAGTATTGATACTTTTTCTCGAGAGTGTTGGAGTGCTTAATGAAATTTTCATTTTACTAACCAGTTGGCTTTAAATTATTACTTAATATAATAAATAGCTATTAAATATTAAAATTTAAATTGGATAAAAGGTTATAGGTTAAAGGGAGGAAAATCTTATTTCGAAGCCTTATGGGGAATTTATAAGTAAGATATATTTATTTTGTATTGTGGAACATGGATGGTGATTTAGTGGAATGTTAGTTTTTGATAAGACTTAATCTTAAATAAACCTTAATATATTTATTTATATCTATATAAATAAAAATGAATGTAGCGCATAACTCAAGAATGGCTGGACCAATTCGGCAAAAAAAATTTTTCGTATGTTCCTTAAGGTCCACAGAAGGTTTTAATAAAGAGAAAAAATGAAAAAATAACGAAAACGCTGGCTAATAACTATTTATGTCTATTTAAAACGTACCCAGCGACGAACCCGAGCGAAGCGAGGGTGAGCCGCTAGTACTAAATAAATCTAAAAAAAAGGAACGAAAACGACTTGAGAAAGTCATAAAAAATATTTTACAACATCACTAGCAAACATACTGCTTATTACAGAAAATCAAAATAGTAATGAGCAGAATAAAAAAGACGTACGCCAATAAAATCAAGCGCGCGTTGACACCACTCAACCAACTTTATTGTTCTGTCGTTCAAACTCGACAGATCGTGATAGAATTAAATTGGGAGCATCGCACCGTTATATGAAAAATAATAACAGTACTATCGAATGTCTTCACGCGCCGGTGGCAGGGGTCTAGCTAATAGAAATCCAGCCAATGATAATCTGTTTTCTACACCATTAATCCTAAAGTAAGTCTGAGTACAATCTGTGGCGTCTTCGTAGAGCGCGTCGAGTTTTATGGTCTCGTTAAGGTCCGCAATTTGTGGAGTCGGGCTGTTAAGAAGCGCCTTCGCCCTCATTCGCTCCAAATCCTAATTCCGACCGTGGACTTTCTTAATCTTACGATATCGGGCTCAAGGTAATTGTTTCAAAATTGTTGCGATAGCGTCCGTAGATATGGTCGGGCACGCGTTTGTTACTGGTTTCGGCTTATTTATTATTTGAAATTAGATTTTTTTTTACTAACAATTAATTTTAATTTTATTCACTTAAAATTAGATATAGCAAAGTTTTTTTTTAATTTTCAAATACAGTAAATAAAATATTCATAAATTAAATTGTATTTTTAAACTAGGAATAAAACGGTTTAATAAGTTTACAGCAATTTTAATAGTAGGTACCTATGTATTTATTCAGTAATAACTTTTATTTTTCGATGTAAAATCAACTCTAAATGATTTATTAATGAATCTTATACAATATTAAGTAAATATTTCTTAATATATAACTCACGTACCTTACGTATGGTTTAAATGAATACAAATTACATTTGCAAATATACTTAATCCACAAATTAGTTATCTCCCTATCTAGCCTCCCCAGCAACAGTTCGCGCTCCTCTATAGCAAACTTACACCGATGTACAAGTAAAATAATATGTACACAAAGATAATACCTAATATATTTTATAATTACGTAATTATTTTGGAGAAAAGAAATTAAAAGTTTTAGTAGTTAAATAACAGCCATTTAGTTTACACTAAAGGGATATTATAATAGTTTTAATTACAAATTATAATTATTATATCGATCGAGGTGTGTCAAAAAATAAATAACTAACTTATCTTATAGACAAACTAAAAGCAAGCATAAAAATAAATATATCTACAAAAGTTTTTATATTTATATATTTTCATACCTTTTCATTTATGTTCATACCTTAAACCTGACCGAAAGACAAATATTCATATTGGCTTATTCTGAACAAGCGACTCACCCTCGCTTCGCATGGGTTCGTCCCTAGGTTGCTTCCCCATACACACTTTCATGCCCTTAAGGGATGATTTCCGGGATAAAAACTATCCTATGCCATTCCTAGAATATCAAACTATCTTTTTACCAAATTTCATCTAAATCCGTTCAGTAGTTTCGGAGCCTATTCGATACAAATCAACAAACTAACAAAAAAACATTCCTCTTTATAATATTACAATAGATAAAACCTCCGACCTCCTTAGCAGCTGTCAGTGTCAATAATTATTTCATGTAGGTAAGTATTTATTGTCTTTAAAATATTTTATGTATCTTTAAGTAATGACAACCCGACGGATGCCATTAAAATAAAGGTTTTATAGACACTAAAAACATAATATTTTAAGCGCACTCTACCTTCATAACGCCAGATCCTCTTCATCATGTGTAATTAACAGAGATCAAAATCTCATTAATAACAATATTATAATGTAATATAATAAAAAGCGAGTGCGACTCATACTTTACCCTATGTATATTATTTTTTACTTTAGAACTATTTAGCTACAATTACTATAGTTTGATATACCACCAGGTTTGATATTTGTATACTTTTTTACAGAGAGAAAAAAATAAAAAACCTCTTTTCTTATATTATGGCAAAAAGAATGAGTATATTTTAACTGGCAACTACACTTTAAAAAGAACAGATTTCAAAAGCAAGGGCAAATATGCAGACGCGCAAAAGAAGATGGACTGACAGTTTAAACACATGCGTTACAGAACCTTAAAAAAGTACAAAACTGAAATGTTTCATAATATTTGGTTTAAAAAAATATATTTTTAGGTACAATCTGTAAGTTATGAAAATCTTTTGCTCAATTTAAAATTTATGTTAAGGAAACCTATATAAATAGATAGTGTATAGCCTGGTGTAGATATAATACAGAATTGGGCATCTTTACGCCTCATCTAGCCCTCGTTATGCCACGATCGTAAATCTTCATTCCCCTCCCTCCTCCCTTGCTTCCGTACCCACTTGAATGTTTTGATATCATGTGTTATAATTTTCTTTGGTCTTGTCTTAAATGTTCAACTCTAGTAGAGTATTTATGATACACATCAAAATATAGGATTTGTAATAAAGAAATAATTAAGACGTAGAATACGTACAAGATCAAGGCTGAGTATCTCAAAACGTTCATCTTTTAGTATTAATTTTCGAATTAAATTACTATACTTTACGAGGTACTATATAAAGTATGAGCTTATAAGAAACTTGGCATAAGCTAGAAGACTAACCAACTTTAATGAACATTATTGGGTATTATGTAGGTATTGTTCCAGCCTTGTGTTAAGCAAAAATAAGTAGGTGTAAATCACGTGAACACAAAGAAAAATAATCACAATAAAATAAAAGTAATATGTTATTAACAAACGTATATGTTTGCATTAAAGTAATTCTGTATAAAAATGTTCTGTATCTGCGTGAGTAGACGCAATAAATCCAAGCGAAGCGTATTTATTTACTTGCTATGCCGCCGTAAGGCCGCGTTCAACTTGCGTTTTAGGTTTACTGTCATTTCTAAAAGAAATATAGGTACATATATTGTTTTTCAAAGCTATTTCTTAAATAATCTAATTGAACATGTTCCATAACAAATTACATTACTATGAACTTTTAAATATTTGTAGTAATAAGGTTGTCTAATTTTTGTATGCCAACTTTTTTTGGTGTTAAATTAAAAAGGAGAATGAGTGATCCAGACATTTTGTTTTATGTTTTTTTATTTAAATATACATAGATTTTGTACTAGAAATATAAATATTATAAGCATTTCTACAGGCATAAGTATTGATTAAAATAATAAGAATATCGTAAGTCCATGAGCAATTGTTCCTTTAAAGTCAATAATGGCATAACATTTATTAAATTGTAACAGAGACCGTTCTCCATTCCGCTCATATAAATAAATAGTACATATATACACAATACAGTATATCAAGCGACGCTGAGTGCGATATTATTTTGTAGTCAGGCGGCTTCAGGCACGGAACACAATTAACTTGTAAGATTGTCTGCGGAGGCTGCACTCGTACCATCGCCCTCCTCGATCTACCCTCCCTCCGAAACAAAACATCAATAAACTTAACTACTTGCACGATTTTGAACCTTACTATAATACATTAGAGCTTAAAGTCATGTAATGTTTTGTAAGTTTTATGTGGCGCATTTATTTCGTGTAGGTATAGCAGTCCAGTTACCCTTGATTGGTTGTCGTTCCTCTAATCCCGTTTTGATCCTTTCCACCCAAACCTAGCCCTCACTCAGTTAACTATTGACATGCGTTCCTACCTGTTTGTATGTTTTTCCTGTGACACCTCTATATTTATTAGTTCGAAATCGATGAGATCGACAATTCCAATTATTTTTCGACAAGTTTATATTACTCTTATTTTTTCTAATACAAAATAAAATCAAACATTCTAAATAAAATTAAACATTCATTTTAGACATTTATTTCCATTATTTTCTTCGTAACTTTACTGTGTACAGATTCTACTCTAAAGTAAAATTGTATTTATCTGATATCTTTTTCGAATTTTAATAAGTCCAAACTTATAAATTGTACTCGTAATAATTTAAATTTAAATCTAATATAAATTAGGTACGTACTTGGTAGGTTTTGCCCATGGCTCAGCTCGCGTAGTTTATTTAGTATTGCCATCTGCTTAAATTTCTCTCAAGTTTACGATCTAAGAGTATTATTTAGTTAAAAAAAAAACAATAAAGAATATTTATTAATAACTTTGTAGACGTACGTACAATCATTCGTTTATTGCGTGACAAGACAACTCGTGTTATAACTCTACAACATCAAAGTTTTAAAAACGCGATTTTTAACTAATTGCAAAAATAACATAAAAAATAGCAACATATAATATGAACTTTGACTATATTCGTTTACTTGAAATATTTTTAGAACTTGGAATAGGTACATATCCGCAGACAAGACAGAGGAGACATGGGGTTTAAAGAATTATACTGAATATGTGAATATATTTTAGGTTAATTTAATAATAATAAAAGGTCATTAACATTCAAAATAAATTCATTCAAGTTGCATGATTTCTTGATTGCTTTAATGAGTAAATTGAATCTATAAAATAACATGTTAAAGAACTTTAAACGTATAAGGCTATACGATGCATGGTTACCTACACGATGTGTTGGCTAAGAACAAATATAATATAATGTGGGGATGATATGATATCACGTATGTACGCTCGCGCATGTAGACCCTAGACCTCAGTGACTAAGGCAATCCTTGATAAAATAAAAAACCACATTAATGTTTACTACCATAAAGATAACATGTGACGCGCACGAACTACGGTCGGCCACTGAACGCACGTGCTTATGTAAGTATAAACGAAACCTAGAACAAATACTATGACGCTGTCTCTAATTAAATAGTTGTGTAAATTATAAAACTCATAATTACTTTTTGATAATGCCTACGATCCATCGGCCCTCGACGTCAGCTTTGACTCTCATGTCTCCATCTCGTGCCCTAGAAAGTCATTAGAGCGGTCGGGCGCTAGTCCGCGAAAGCTGCCACCAAAAGGAACAAAGAATCGAAAAGCGATAACGACTAATCCCACTAATCGGGGAGCAATTGAAAAATAAAAATGTAGATGGCGGAATGATTCCATTTGGAGCCAAAACGATGCGACAAAATAATAAAAAAGGTAGAAGCGGAACGGAATGGGCCTGCCCTCGGCGGCCGACGGCTAATATTGAAAGCAAATCCTCGGCTAAATCCTTAAAGCGCTTGGATTGGAGCACCTGGAAACTGTGTGTTCGCCCGCGTCGCTGGTCTGATAATCATTTACTGGATTATTGTATACTTTCCGCTTAATGTCACCGAATTTCGTGAATCAATTGGTCGCAATTTATTGGAGCACCGAACTTTGACCCCAATTTTCACGTTGGAATTTTCAAAGGATTTGGAGGTTTTGCAGAAGTATTTTAACTGGATCGGCTTTAGCGAAATTTCTTTATCGATATTGAATATATTATTTTTGTATGTTTTATAAAATCTGAATTATCCCTTGTATGGCAAAAAGCTTATAAGGCTTTTAAGACGTATTTAAAATAAAAGTTATTTGGTATTTATTTCGTGCAATGAAATCTGATTGACTAGATATGCTCGAATTATTTATTAACTATATTTAAAATCTTCATTCAATCATTATCACTTAATTCCATTCTTATTATATGTAGAAATACCATAGGTATGTTTATATTCATTAATAGACATCCTATTTAACATTTACATTTAACTCCTAAGATATTCAACGCATAATATCAATTTTATGTACAAAATGTTGCCATATAATTAAATAATAACACATTACTTTGCTCTAAAAATATATAGAGCTTTATATTCAATCCTTAACACTAAGATAAATTATATTTCCATTTGACCATTTTTTATATCTAAAAAGCTTTCAGACTTTTTGTGTTGACCTATATCAACAGCTTAAAATAAATTATTTAAAAAGATATATTGCTATTAATTTATTATAAGGGCGCTCAATACTTCTCTTCTAACCGTTAGTTTTATGTTGGTAATAAACTTAATAACATACGAGTTATTAAGTTTTAAGTTTTTTAGTAAATAGGTATAAGCTTGAAGAAAATATGTTTACAATGCTTTACTCGGGAAATATCAGGAAAATTTTACAGGGTTCAAAATCAAAAGTAAAGGTTTTCGTAAGTTACATACATTTCCAAATATAATAATTACGTTATGGAAAATAATTGCTTCCAATCTAAATATTTATTTACGAACAATTTAATATGTGCTTTCAATTTTGCTAATCTGCAAAAACACACATATCTGCTTAAATCAGCCGCGATTTTTAAAAAAATCTTTAATTTTTATAGATATTTACATAAATCCAAAAAGAGGCACGATAGTTCACTAAATTTTTCTTTTTGCCTTTATTATGTTTTATTCTTGCTGCGAGTCTCGATACGTGTATCTATGTCTCCAACTGCATCATACTAGTTTTCCTTCGTTATTCGTTCCCTTTTCGTTCGATTTTTAGGCAGTCGAGTTCTTTATATTTATAGTTTAGCTCTATATTCTTCAATCTCTAGTTTTTCTACTAAAATGATAAAATCAATCTCAAAACATAACATGTGAAATATTTCATAGTTACCTATGTCCTAACGGTCTCATCATATAAATTAACATTAAAATAAGACAAAAATACTAATTCTGCACAAAAGGCAAATAGCATTATTTCAACCTTCAGCACTTAAAAAATATTAATTTTATAATTTACCTGCCTATATTTACTCGGTATAATTTATTCGTATAAAAATAAAAATAAATATATTCAGTGTCATTTAATCATTCGAAACTATCATCTAATATATAAGTGTGTTAAGATGAATTGAATGGAACATTCGAAAATAATTTTTTAGATATGTTCTTGAAATCTTGTTTTTGATTACTAATATGCTAAATAAACATATAATTAGTATTTGATCCACCATGATTCGAATTTGTGTTAGATACTTGTTGTAGTGCCGTTGCCACGACAACGCAATCTATCTTCCGCTGGCAGCTTGCCGCCCACTATAAAATACCTTACGCTAACGTGAAATTTATATCCAATTCTATTTAATACACATCTTTCGGTGCAACTTTTCAAGGCGTCGTTGCTATAAATACTTCTTGCATTGAAACTACGTGCGAAATGCATCTTGTATCGTCGTAATATAATGTTAATATATTGAAACATTCATAGTAGATATATTTAATAGTACTAGTTTTCGCCCAGTGGTCGAAATTTACCCATAATCATTATATAAAAAAAACTAACCGTTTCCAAAAGTTTTTTGTTAATAACACTAAAGCACGTCAACAGCTACTAAACAAAAAAAAAGAAAATCGGTTGACAAACAGAAGAGAAAAACGTACTGAACTCTTTTGTCTTTGCCTATATATTTTAAATAAACGTCGAGAACCAAAAATGAAAATAAATCCGCGAAATAATCCGAAAAGATAGTTTTATTTAAAACTAGCATTTCCCGCGGTTTCGCCGGCGTTCAGATGCCCAAGAACCAAATTCTTAGGTTTTACATATTAATGTACTCTTACATTGCAGTTACATTGTATTTTTTCTCAAAAATGAGATATTTTTTGCGGTAAAAAAGTATCCTATATGTTGACCCGGATAACCAGCTATCATCATACCAAATTTCATCAAAATCCCTCCAGTGGTTTTTCGTGATGCGGTAACAGACAGACAAAAATTCTAAAAACTAGATTCAGCCTCTATATCGATAATTATGTCTATTTCAATAAGATTTTCCAAAAAATATTTAATCTACAGATTCGGCTTAGTTAGAATTTTATTATATGTATAGATGTCAAATATTCGCGTAAATATAAGAAAGTATATTAAAAAAGTTGTCGCAAATTTATTACTCAGATTATATCCAAAAATAACTTTATGTAACTAAAAATTTGATAAAATATAGAGTTCATCGTAAGGAAAAATAATGAATAGCTATTATTATTTTAATTTTATTTATTTATTTTATTTGGTACCAATTCAGTTATATTGCATTAATTATTTGTTAATAATAGGTATCTCCACCTTTATAGGTATATTCATAATGCAAATAAAACATTAAACAATATATGTATTTTACATAATGATACTGTTTCATATTTTAAATATTAATGTGTTTTTTACTATAGTACCTATTATTGATTTTTTTCTAATAAAGTATAAAAATTTTATGGTAAAATTTCTTAATTAATGAAGAAAAAGGACTGGGAATATTTACCTAAATTTAAATACTTTTAAAAAAAAATTTAATTACATAAAATCCACCAGTTCGGAAAGAAGTCACGAAGTTAGACACGAAAAGAACTGGTGAAAGAAATTCTTATCATAGATATTTATCATAGGTATTTTAACTGAAAACTTATTATATAGATTTTAAATAAAACGAAAGCTATATTCAGTGATATTTTTTTATTATGACTAGAGGTTTTTAAGTTATAAAACAATCAGTTATCAGTTAAATACTCGTACATTTACAAAATATTCCGAAACGATTGACCGCATCGTATGTATTTTGTTTGATATGTATGAAATGAAAACCTCAATATATTCATCATTACAACAATTTGAATTGGTTATTTACATTGTTTTTTCACAGTTTACCATTTTATAATTAGGCACACGGAAGTAGATTCTAACGTGTTATTTTAAAACTGATCGCCTAAAGTACGCAACGATTCGAAGCGCATTATATTATCATAAATTAACATGAATTCTTTAAATATATATTTTTATTTTACAAGTAAAATAGCAACTACTTAATACAAAATAATAGAACCAAGCGAAAAATTAGGTTATAGTTATACTACGCTTCAAATCGCTGTGAATGGACATTATCAGTCAGCATTTTTTGTTCTAATGATAATTCAACCACTAAATAGTTACAATTATTTACAATTTATTTGGAAGATAATAAATATTAAGTACTCGTATTAATAATGAGATCTCGGTTACATTAATCTCATTTACACGATTGCCTCTTCTTTAAAGTTCAGTAATACTTAAGTATGCCTTCCACTGTCTGATAAAAATAGAAAACGCTTTTGATATCGAAAATATTTGTTTCAAAATATTATATACTAATCTATTTTTAACACAAATAAAAAAATATATATTGTATTTTATAGTTGAAGTAAGGTTTACAAGATATCAAGTTGACTTCAGTCTTTTATTCTTATTTAATTATTCAAACATATAAATTTCTCATATCTATATATGAATTTATCGAATAATTAAAACACAACATATTGGAAACTTAGAATATAAATAAGAATAAATATAAAATTAAACGGTCATAAATAATGCATATCTTTGTATTCGACAGTGGAAAGCCACCTTCAAATTTTCAAGTGCGTTTAGTTTTCTCTAATAGCGTAATTAAATATAAAAAAAAAACATATTGTACTAAGACTTTGGTGTAGCAAGTATTTACACGTTGTTCATTATATATTCTCTTATAATTCATTTTTACAATATAACCAATTATAGTTTAGTTTGCACTATTTTAGGCATTTTAGTACTTTTATAAATAGGTACTTCGTTAAATACCCGAACTTAACTGATTTAAGATGTAAAACTCTAAATATTATCTTAAAATGCATAAAATAACAAGTTCTCCATGATTTCTCCAATTTGTGATAATAATTTATATTAGGTATCGCATTGGTTTTTACAGTCTATTCTGGAAAGAAACGTTGGCTGCTAAAATATTTTATTATTAACAACATTTCATTTTCACTGCCAACTTTTATTTGCATAATAAATGTTAAATAACAAAATCTTATAATATTCTAAAGTTAAATGCTTCAAAATATAGTTAATTGTAAGTACAAATAAATAACCTAATTTATATTTACAGTGGTTTAAAGGTACACAATTAAAATTATTTCTATAATAATTATTCTACATACATTAAGCTTGTAAAAATTGCACACATCGCTTTGGTATACGTACATACATAGCTACATATTTACAACAAGTCTAAAATAAATCGTTAAGTTTATTGCCCGAAGTTTCATATACCTATCTCATGGGATTACACAAACAGCACCCATATTCATAAATACCGCTCTCGTTTTGTAATTAATATGAAGTGTAGCTAACTATTACAATTATAACACCATTTCACCAGATTTTAAAGATATACAGTCTATACTGATATCTATTTTTAATTATGAGATATTTCAATTACAAGAATATACATATATTTGTTGAAAATTATTGTTTAACATTATTTGTGCTAGTTGTTTCTGTCGTATGTTTTGTTAAAGAATATTTATGAATACAATGGTGCAATGATTTGTATGATCAGTCAAACCATTCCCATAGGTGTCGATAGAGGCCATGCGCGGAGGAGGACGCGCGCGTCGGCGGCTAGGAGGCGCGTGCGGCGGCGAGTGCGGGCGAGCGGGCCTCCTCGCCGCGAGCCTCGTCTCAAAGCACACGGTCCACGACCCCGCCCGCTGCATACTGACACGCTGATAGGGGAGCCGACCCAGCCCGCGACACTGGTGACACTGTTCCGTAGCCGCTGCTAAAACTCGATGAGTGCTGCTTTGCCTTCAATCGCAACGAAGCGATCGAAGATGACATCGCAGGACATGGTTCGGCACGGTACATACTATAAGGATTCGGTGGAGCTGTGTACGGACAAGGTGCTACACTGCCGCCCACGCTCCCTGAACCGCCCACACCGCCCATACCACCGCTGCCCACGCCGCCCATCGATGTTGCCGTGTTGAAGCAGTTCACAGAACCTTGGTGATGACTTGCTGGTACTACTGATCCGAGAGGGTTCACAGGCCATGGGAAGCTCTTAGTGCCCAGCGGACTAGGCACTTTTGCAGCCCAATTGTTATAAGGATAAGATGAGTACAGCGCATCGGTGTCGGGGAATGGCTGCATTAGACCGTTGAATTGCGTGCTGAAACCATTCTTGAAATCAGCGGCCGCGGCCGCTGCTGCGTTCATAGCATTTCTTTCACGTTTCCGCCATTTTGCTCTCCGATTTTTGAACCATACCTGTAACAAATTTTAACTATTATTATCTATGTTGTAGAAAAGTAAATTTATCCGGTAATTTGCCAGAAAACTTTTAGTTTCGAATCAGATCACGGACTCCGTTTCGTGGGGGCCCTATTAACTTTACTCATTACAAAGTTGACAGAAAGTCGCGGCGCATCGGCGTATTCGAGCCACGTAGTAAGAGAGGAGGCGAGAACCCCGCCCGACCGCAGCCAACGACCCGTCTAATTGCGGTCGCGAAATGAAGATAAACGAGCATCGCGATTGGGCAGGACGCCTCTGCAGGCCGCTGCCAGGAACCGCTCGGCCGCAATAAATGAACGGTCGGCTGTCGAGCGCCTTGGAGCCTCCGTTGGACCTATGTACGTTGTTATTTAGCGAGGCCTCGGAGGCGGAGTGACGAGCGATAAGTCTCCGTGAGCTCAGATAACGCGCGCGCTGATGTATGGCCGCGTCCGTCAGCGCGCGATCGATCGCCGACGACACCTCCACGATAAATTGCGCAATCCACGTAGCGACTGCAATAAATATTGTGCCGGCAGCGGTATTTGTCTCACTCACTGTGGCGTGTTCACCCAGCCGAAACGGTAAATAATACCCTCTTTCCTCGGTTAAGTGAACATAAACGGTCGTTTCCACCCCATATACGAGCGTTTATTTTTCGAAACATAAATTTTACAAATTCATGTGGACGCGTCTTTTTTAGCTTGAAGATAAAGTGCTACAATTGCTTGTCTTACCTAATTTTGCTCTTGCATTTCAAATTAATATATAATATTTGTGTATATTTTTTTCAATGTATTATCTAATCTAATTTTCAATTTATCATGTAATGGTTTTAAAACCCGAGCATGGAATAAAAATAAAAATAGTAATATCTTAAGAAAACTACCAAATGAAACCATATCATGCATCTAGTGTCTTTTCCGATTGGCAATGAACGGGTGAATATAGGTCCACAGGAATGTTGGGGTTCAATAATGGCAGTAGAATGATATTTGCTTAGGTGCACATATGTGGAAATAATTTTCATTATTTGAATGGCGGGCAGCGCAGCAGGGCGTAGAAGGCCGGAGGGTCGCGATATTGCGACGGGGCTAATCCTTTAAATATATTATTGTAGGATGTTGAGGCCTTCGTAGGGGAGGAAATTTTTAATGTTTCCTAAATCAATACTGATGTTTGGGTCTTGTAATCATTTGTACCCTCACTTTAAGTGTGATAATTGAATTGCTATAACTAATAAGCGTAGTTGAATAAGCTATTTATTTTGCTAGTGTTATAACTAATACTGTAGATTTTAGAATTACAATCTTAAAAAAAGTTTGTTAAATATATTAGATAAATATAAATATGGGTTACGGTAAGTATATATACGAACTTAATTTTTTTTATTACCAATAAATTTTAGCTAATATTTTAAGTAGTTACAAAAGTATTTCGTACATGATAAAAATATGCAAGAAAATACCAAGCAGTTAAAGATAGGATGTTATCAAGTTATCATGCGGGGCGCGTAGGGCAAGATTAATGCGCCCATCGCCGCGAGGCCAACATCAACCTGACAGCGACTATGTCTTACGGGAAAAACAAAATTGTAGAGTTAAAAATGTAGTTCATAATGATCCTCATCATTTTATTTGTATAATGGTATTAAAGAATAATTATTATATAATCATTAAAGCGTGAGCATTGCAACAAATGTATAATATATAGTATATTATAAGCAGAACCCGGAGCTTCGCTCGCGCTAAAACTACAAAAAAATATCTAAAACGGTAGTTTCATATAAACTTTCATTCCCAATTTTACCCCCTTATAAGGAGGGGGGGGGGGGGGGGGGTTTTGCATTTTTCGAAATTCATCCTATAGGATGATGGTACTAAAGTGCTTCAAATCATGACAATATCAAAAGAAGGTTGAAACCTTCATACAGATTACATAGTTTACAAGTAGAAAAGTAAAAAAAACATTTTACAAAGAAATTATTTTTAGCCCAGTTAGAAAAACTAAAAAAAGTTTGTTTACCTATCCATAAAAGAAAAACTATTTCCATTTTTTTATTGATAACACTAAAATTCGTCAATAGCTACTAAACAAAAAAAAATCGGTTGACAAACATAGGAGAAAATACTGAACTCATTGGTGGTGGCAAAATTATTTCCAGGGTGAAGCATCTGCTTCTTCACATTAAACTTGTAACTAATCTATAAATGGTTAACTTTATAACTTTTATTCATAAATGTTTTTTTTTTATATTTGTCAATTATTATTCTTTTCTTTTTTTCCCTAGATATCCCCCTAAATATAAACTAGTATTTTACTTATATAATTTTATTGAACTTATTTAGTATTTTCCTATTTTTGTCAATAGACTTTTAAAAGGACAATAACAAAAATCATGTCTAAATAATAACATGTAAAAGTATGGTAAATAATACACTAAACAGTAATTATTCAATCACCATGCAGTTCATAGTATATAGAATATATACAATTCATAGTATATATACTAGAATTCATATATAAAATCTATGTCAAAGAGGTACTCGTAGACCTTATACCTAGGTATTAACAAGCCTTTCTTATGCTAACACTTATAAGAAAAACAAACGTTTGTAAAATATTAATAATATAATCAATTCCATTAATTTCAATTAATTATAAAACCAAAACTTTATTAATCGGCAATATTTATGTAGTGTATCTATATTATCTTTCAACCCTGAATTTCAACGAGTTGTTATCACAAAAAACATTACTCACTATGTCCGCATAATAAACGCCACAATGAACTATGTGACCGCACTATGCGAATAATAAACCTATTTTACGGTCAGCGGGAGCAGGGCTGCTAAATTGCCTTAAATTTAAATTAAACTAGAATCACAGTTTTATTAGTGTCATCAATCAAACGACGGTCCATTGGAAGGTTTGCTTCTGGCTCCTTAGTGTGGGATTATGGGATATATTGCCATGGCAAGAGGGACTGTAATTCTGTAATTCGACTTACTTGGGCATTATTCGAAAGTCAAATAAACATGGGCTCGAATAAATGGATATGAACCAGGATTTGACACGTGCGAGATTTAGGGTTGCTGGTACACATTTTATCTAACTTTGAAAGACAATTATAATTATGAATGTAAATATGAAATATCTATAATAATATTGTCTTTACACTTCCTGGTAAATTTCTAAGAAACTAATTAAAATTCTAAGAAATCTATTGTTAACTGACACCTCGGAGTGTCCGCGGTCGTGGAGGGATTAATAAAAACTAATCAATACATTTAGGATCGAACATTAAACAAAAAAATAACAGCACTACCAAAAGGAACTCCACCCAATAATGTGATTAAAAATTATTATATATATATATATATATATATATATATATATATTGCTATTATCTTGAAAAACTTTGAAAACGGAGATTTCTTACATCATTTTATATTTTAAAATATAGATAGTAGGTAGGTATATTGTATAACAAATACCTACATACATAATGTAATTTTTTGTATGTATATCATATTGAATATTACATCTACAAATATATATATATATATATATATATATATATATATATATATATATATATTTGTATATGTAATATTCAATATGATTACATTACCGACGTTATTGTAAATATTATTTTATATTATATTTTAAAAGAAAGTGATTGATATGAGTTTCAATTTTAATATTTATTTTAAATATAAGTGTAGTGCCACCCCTTACATTATTAAATGCACCCCGCAGTGGAGAACGCTACTTTCTTGATCGGTAACGGAAAACGAAATACACCAACTATTATCACTTCCCAGTGAGAAAAAGCATCAATCTTTTTCATTATAAGCCGTTTTTACATCCCTTTACATAACTGACTACACTTTTTGGCCGGTTTTTTTTGGGGATTTATTTTATTTGTTTATTTATAAATTCCTCATGGACTGACTTTAATTTTTAACCGACTTCCAAAAAGGAGGAGGTTCTCAATTCGTCGGAATCTTTTTTTAATATATAAAAATTGACGATTCAAAAGTGCTTGTAGAAGCCTATTTGAATAAAATACATATAATTTGATTTGATATAAAAGTGAAGTCTATTCAGGCAACGGATTTCAAGACAAACATCTATCCTGTGCATATTTGAAGTAAAACTGGGAAAGTTGAATCGAAAAAGAAAGATGAATTTATGTTTTGAAATAAAAAAAAACTCAAAATGAGAGAGGAGAATTCACTCATCTTGAGTTTTATTTTTACTTTAAGATTATGATAAAGATGGTAGTCGGAACGACATGTATCTTAAATATGAAAGAAAATTGTAGTATTTTTATATATCGCAGGTATTGTAAACAATTGTATAATTATAAATAAAGGCACACACATACTATACAGTACTATAAAGGTACATAATAGATCCTCGTCATCTTCATTATAAAATATAATAATAACTAATATTGAATTTATATTATAACTAGCGACTTACCCTCGCTTCGTTCGGGTTTGTCCCTACACAAACTTTCGTCCCCATTTTCACCCCCTTAAGGGATGACTTCCGGGATAAAAAGTATTTTATGTCCTTCCCAGGGTCTCAAACTATCTTCTTAACAAATTTCATCTAAATCGGTTCACTAGATTCAGAGATTACCCCCTACAACTTCACAAACTCACAAACTTTACCTCTTTATAATATTAGTACAGATAAATAAAGTATAAAATAATATAGTTACAATAAAGAATATTATCTACTTGCAATTTTAGTTGTAGCGTTTTTAACCCTAAAGTATTTATTCCTCAATAACTTACAACCCACAATAAAACGTAGAAGTAAATATATTTCTAACTAAGAAAACATAGCGTCAGCAGTCAATAAATAGAGATTATATGAGATTACAAAATATATAAGACATCAAATTCGACGTTATTCATTGAAATAAATTCTTTGATAAATCCAGCCAAGAGCCGACCGAGATCCGACCGATCAAAACA